GATATAGTTTAATTTTGGTCAATGATTTTACCTATCCAGTTTCAATTGTTCAATCAAATAAAATACATTTTCCTGGTCATATCTTGTAGTCAATAATCCTGCTAAAAATAATAGTCCCAAATATGCTAAAATGTTAAACATAAAAGCTGAGAGTAGTACATTTTTACACTCCAAAGTGTCTGGTCAATTGTTGACTAGTTTATCTATTTTTTTTTTTAATTATTATTATTATTTTGTTAATGACTAATGTCAATATATATGTAAATAAATTGTATATTTCCATGACAAAAACTATTTTAAACTAAAAAAAAAATCTATTTACAAAAATAATAAAATAAAATTAAATAGAAATACAGGAGTTGTGTTTGTTAAAGAGCAATATCTCTAGAGTATTCTCTATAAAGAGTATTCTTGTTAGCACTTCATCTTTTAGCTTGAGTATATATTACACTGGAAAGGGAGAATCTGCCATCCATCCGGCTAACTAGAGCTGTCTGACTCAGAGTCATCCATCAGTCCCAATAAAAACACAACATCTGTCCATTAAAATCTGTCACACTGAAGCCAAAGTAATGGACAATTCCGCTTCCCATCCATCTGTTTAATGAAGCTGACACAAACAAAATATACATACAGACATACATGGATATGTTAAGATACACACAATGAACAACACACAATGAATACACACTCATCCTCATGAACAACCGCAGAGATCTGTGTCGGAGTAACTGATTCGCTGTTTGGAGTATCACATAGGCTGCTTCTATAAAGCAAAATAACACTAAGCCTTCACCAAACACTCAATAAAAACATTTGGTAATGTGCCATAGTTAAATGGCAAAACTAGCATGCAAAAAAGCATCAACTATAAAAAATAATTATACATTGACACAAGGTGTGCTACCAGCTCTGAACCATAGAAGGAGGTCGATATTCAATTCAGTGACTTTCAATTAGGTAAATAAATCTATCCCAGGTGATCAGATCATCTCACAAAGTTTAATGAATTCATAAAAGATTCATTCTGAAGGTCTGGAGCCCATATTGTTTTATTAGTGTGTGTGACACTCTAAGACAGAGACAGCACCAGGCCTGCTACAGTCCATTGTTAAAGGATACACCATTCAAAAGTTTAGGGTCAGTCATTTTATTTATTTTTTTATTTTTTTAAGAAATACTTGATTTTAATAGGACTAAAATGATGAAAAGTGACAGTAAAGACTTTTACATGCAAAAAATACTTTTCAGAAAAATATTAAGCAGCACAACGGTTTTCAACACTGATAATAATGAGAAATATTTATTAAGCAGCAAATCAGCATATTAGAAGGATTTCTGAAGGATCATGTGACAATGAAGACTGGAGTAATGATGCTGAAAATTCAGCTTTGATCACAGGAATACATAACTGTTTTCTATTTAAAAGCATTTTTAATTTTAAATTGTAATAATATTTCTTTTTTTTTTTTACTGTATTTTTGATTAATAAAATGCATCCTTATAGTAAGCATAAGAAACTTCTTTCAAAAACATTAAAAGGTCTTAGCAATCCCACACTTTTAAATAGTAGTGTATGTACAGTATATGCAAGTGAGATTTTAAAGCTACATCAGCAGAAGATTTAAAAAAATACATAAAATTATCATCATATGGACCACATTCATGAATCGTTATGTTGCTTTTTTGTCATTCTCAAAGCTTACTAACCCATTCACTTTCATTTTAGAGAAAGAACAGCTAGAACACAATGTAAGCATCATAAAAAAAAACATTTTATGTTCCACAGAAGAAAGAAAACCATAAAACATGATGGTGAGTAAATGATGGCAGAGTTTTTATTCTTGGATGAACTAGTTTATTTAAAGGCACAGTAGCAAAAACAGACAGTTTAATTTTAGGAGTCAGAGAAAGGATGAAAACGACAAACTAAATTATGACTTTTTTTATATAAGAAGACTTGACTAATGTTCAAAATGGACTTCAGGGGGGGAAATTATACAAAAGTGCAAAATATTTTATCACTCTCTCCAACTCCTCAAACTAAATATGCAAAAAAGCCTCAGTTCTCTGAGGAGGAGCAAGACCGACTTGGACAAAAAGAATACCTGACTTGAAGCCAAATGCCAGTTTTATTGCAATTATGACGGATATAAACGGTCCTCAAAAATGTAAGGACTGTAAAGAAAAATTATTCTACATACACTGTGTGTGCTCAAGCACCTCAGTTGGACTTAAAAGGTAATATAACCGTGTGAAGCATGTTAAAACATCAACGTCACAGAAAGAAACCCCTCAGACTGGGCAAAGACTCCAGACACTAAACAGCCAGAATTGAGCAGCAGGGTCACTGGCAAGAGCTTTAACACTTCACATGCAAAAACCTCTGAAAGACTCTAACAGCTGAGACAGTTAACTTTACCAGTTGACACAGATTTCAAATCCTATTTGCATGCTTGTGTTTTAGCCAATACCATTTCAGTGACAATCACTGGCTGTCTTTATACCAGCTGTCTTTTGCATTTATACAGTAGAAATGGGAAATTAATCAAAAACAAATATTATGAGTCATTTGGGGTGATTATATGAAATCGTTAATATACTGTTATAATATTAGGGATGTAACTAACGGTATGAAAATTTCTTATCACGGTTATAGTGACCAAAATTATCACGGTTATCAGTATTATCACGGTATTGTTCAAATGTGCTGGAGGTAAACCTCACATTTCAGCCTTTAAATAAAGAAAATATATAAGTCAAATTGATAATTGATTAATAAATGATTATATGTATTTTATCTGCTCCATAAATAATTCTAGATAACTTATCTGAATTGTTTAAATGTGTAGAATCCACATAAGCTTGTTTTTCATCAACCGGTCAAAGTTTACAGAAGGGCATGCAAATTCTGTCCATTTTTGTCCAAGACAGAAACTGCACACAGACTGAATGTAAATATAAGTCTCTGTAAATCCACTTGCTGACAGCAGGTGGCGCTTATGGAAAAGCTGAATTAGAGCTGTTTCCCGTAACCTCTGTGGACAAAGCAGTATTGCGATTAAGAACACTTCCTTTAGGTATTACATGCAGGGGCGGATTTAGTGAATTGGGGGCCCCGGGCAAAATATAGGAATGGAGCCCTATACATTTGAGGTTCCATTTTGTTGTTTTCAGCGTAAGCATGTGTGCAAAGGCTGTCTAATTCTAAACTTTAAAATGCAGCTATCTAAAGGCAAATCCACTTGCTGACAGCAGGTGGCGCTTATGGAAAAGCTGAATTAGAGCTGTTTCCCGTAACCTCTGTGGACAAAGCAGTATTGCGATTAAGAACACTTCCTTTAGGTATTACATGCAGGGGCGGATTTAGTGAATTGGGGGCCCCGGGCAAAATATAGGAATGGAGCCCTATACATTTGAGGTTCCATTTTGTTGTTTTCAGCGTAAGCATGTGTGCAAAGGCTGTCTAATTCTAAACTTTAAAATGCAGCTATCTAAAGGCATAAGAACTCTGGCCAGACTCGTCCATGGTGCGGAGAAGTTTGACCTGGAACACTTGAAGCATTGCCATCATGTGAAGCACTGAATCAACCTGGGAAGCCGCTGAATACGCCCTGTTTGCTAGGGCTGAAGTAGTCCTGCAGGGCTTAGATGGATGTGCTACATGGGCTCCCAGGGCTGATGGAGGGCACAGATGCGCAGCTACATTCTCTTTCTTCAGCACCATCAACAGTGGTGAGAGCGGTGGAAATAGAGAGATTGACACGAGTAGGGGGCACGCCACATCCTGGTGAGTTCCTCGTGAACTGCTGGCGGGAACGGAGCGGGCCATTGGTGGGAGGGATGCTGACGGCATCCCTTCAGGTACCACTCATCAAGAAGGCCATGGGTGGGCTCTTCTGGAGCTTTAGTTAGATCGCGGATCGGCTTGCTGTCCACGCTTGTGATTTTATGACATCAATTACTGCTTTATTTATTCAGAAACACAAGTATCTTCATGATATGTGTATTTTACTTTCATTTTATTACAAGTCGTCCAACAGCGCCCCCTATGTAAATAAAATGCCTTACTGGTCAGGCATTAGGAACCGTGGGAGGCTGTCGCTGCTGCTACTGCACATGCTATTAACTGTTGATTCTATCGCACACTGGACGCATTGCTCTGTACGTGAATTCTCAGATTAAATGCCGTGAACAGTGAATCATTCTGGCAAAAGTTCTCTTCAAGAATGACCACACTGCTGACGTGATCTCATCGCTAGCACACCCTGACACATGCTTTTTTTTTTATAATGTTTTGAAATATTGTGCATCCCTAAAAAATCCTTTAAATAAGGGCAAAAAAGAAAACAGGTCTAACATGTCTTCCACAGAGATCTCTAAAACATTTCTGTATAACACCTTAGAGTCCGAAGTTACAGAGAGCCTTACCTCGAAATTTCTTAGGAGGGTTGTTTAGGTCCCCAGATTCTGGTTGCACCACACAACGGTCGTCCACCAGACTGCAGAGATGAGAGACATGAGTCAGAGAACTTTTCTGGAGGCAGCATACTGAGTATCTCTATTTTTATACAGCTATTTTTTACATTTTCTTCACTGATCGTGGGGGAAAGAAACTTCAACAGAGTTCAGAGTGCTACAGTGCTTTTTGTAGCTGACAACATGACAAAAGACACTATATATAAAGATACATGCAATTGAAAGTAGACTTTTGTTAGTATAGAGGTCATCAAGTGGCTAGCATATCCATAAAAGTTGACAAATTTATAAATGTACAGTCTTTTTTATCTGGAAAATGGAAAACACATTAACCACCTAAAATATGAAATATTAATCAAATAAAAATCTAAAAATAAATAAAATATGTAAAATTACTAACTTACCCCCATTTGAATTTCCGATGCCTTACACGGAAACCTGTCAATCCGTGTCAGGGGTGGGACTATACTATGGGGCATGTTTGTATTGGGAGTTGACGTCACTCACAGATGATTGTGCCAAATAAAATAATTCATAAATAATTTTGTTGTTTTTACCCTAAATCTCTCACTGTTTGCACTCTGATTGATGCACGTCGGCAAAACATAACAACTCTACTCTTATTTGCATCTTACCCTATATTTTATTCCTCTCTTCTTGAGGCAGGTGAAAAGCATTTGGTTAATGGTGAATATTGACCAATAGTGGGTACCGTTTTGGCTCCCCCTGTTAGCAGGGGATAGTCGCTGCATTTGGGGTAAAAACGATGGAATTATTTATTGTGTAAGGTGCCAAGAATATAGGGAGACCTGGGTTGCACTGTCTGTTCTTTCACACGCATCTCTCGGAGTGGCAGCTGCCTTTAGCAGTGCCTTTACCTCCATTTACCAAGCATTTGGCACAATCGTCTTTGAGTGACATCACCTCCCAACACAAACACGCCCCATAGTATGGTCCCACCCCGGACACGGATTGACATGCTTCCATGTGAGGCATTGGAAATTAAAATGCTAAAGTAATTGCGATTCCATTTGAGTTTTGGTAGGTTACATGTGCGACACAGTGAAAAAGCAGACGTGGTAATTAATAACACCCGATGTACTTGTTCTTATGATGCATCTACGCTAACATTGGTCTGTTTCGTTCTTATTCTGAGGTCACCGTAGCCACACGGGTTCCAGTCTGTATCCAGATCAGATGGTCACTGCAGTCACGAGGATCCAGTACGTATCCAGCCCAGATGGTGGATCAGCACCTAGAGATGACCTCTACAGCTCTGAATGTCAGTGGAGACCAGGACAACTAGATGAGCCCCAAAGACTGATCCCCAGTGAAGACCACGTCACCTCGACAGTCATTGGCACAAGACCATGGGAACCAGATGAGTCCTCTGCACAATCTGACTTTGCTGCAGCCTGGAATTTAACTGCTGGTTTCATCTGGCCAGAGGTTTACTGAGTGTTTACTGTTGTCCTTTTTCATTATTACACACTATTTTCCTATTTAATACTGTAAAGCTGCTTTGACGCTGTATTTTTTAAATATGACAGGCTCATTACTCAATACATGAAACATACAGTTGCAAATGGACTTTGCTTTTCCATTTGAAATTTGGCAGTCACTGTGCATTTGTGAAAAACGCAAACAGTAATGCAAGATTTGCAATTGTGTTTGGATTATGTCACAATTCGTCACATGTGGAAAACACAATTGAAAATATAATTTGCAATTCCTTTTGAAAATTATCTGGAATATCCTTCCATAGACAGGCTCGATAGCAGAGCACACTGCTCTCAGCTGTAGATCTTTGCTTCAAAGCTTTCTAAGTGTTTGACGATAGTTCACCAAAAATGAAAATTCTGTCATTAATTACTCACCCTGGTCTGGAAGCACTCGGTTTTCATCGAAAATATCTTAACTTGTGTTCAGAAGATGAACGAAGGTCTTACGGGTTTGTAACGACATGAGGGTGAGTAATGAATGACAGCATTTTTGGGTGAACTATACCTTTAACTACTCTAAGCAGTGCGCATCTACCTTAACTTATCTATACTTGATATCAATTTTAGGACATCTTTAAATGATTTTGCATGCTCTGTCTTTTTCAATTTTAATTGTCAATGTCATTTCACTGTGTATTTAAATAGTTAAACATGTCAAAATGTAATAGTTAACCAGTTAAACGGACACATGGCATTCAGAAGTAATTTTCTTATTTATTGCAACTGTATTTCTGTGATTTTTGCATTTGCTGGAAAGAAAATAAATAATAAAAAAAGAAAATTGCATGTCGTTTGTCATTGGTACAAATTAACACATTTGTGAATGTCAGTTGGCATTAAAAATAATTTTAACAGTCTAAATAACCTGTATTGTTCATTATTTATTAATCCATTATTGTCTTGTTAAGCATAGGCAAAATGATGAGAATAACCCAGCAAGAATAACCCAGCAACACATAAATGCAAGCACATAAATGGCAAAAATCACTATATCTTGGGTTTTCTCAACAACCCAGCCTGCTGGGATACTTTAACCCAGCATGTGTTCTGTCCAATATTTACCCAGCGCTGGGTTGCCAATTGGGTTATTTTTAACCCAGCCATTTTTAGAGTGTACATGTGAAGTATTACAGTATTATTGTACAGAAAGAGAAACAATTTGCAAATCAAGAGGGCTTTGTGTTTCCTGAAAGGTTTATCTGCATCAATGTATGAGCCACGGTGTTATATTGTATGCTCATTATGAGCAAATGTCAATTTATATTGATCAAATCATTCAGTGGTATTGTAATGACACCAAAATTTGCCTCTCATCATACCTTCTCTATAGCTCTTAAGAGCCACAATAGAGCCACAAGAGTCACTGCCAATCTAATTCTTATTTCACACAGCAGTTAAATACACTTCGGTTTAGTTATGAAAAACAGTGACAAACACATTCTATAACCGAAGCGAGTCAGTGGGTATATGAACGGAAATGCAGCGGAGACATACAGTGGAGATCAAAATGACAGAACAACCTTAAATTTCCTAAATTTCAAGGTCACTGCTTAGTCCTATTTGAAGTTATCCTATCAGGAGTAGAAGGGCAGTTTTTTAAGCATATTTCATTAATTAATTGTATTCTGAAGCACAGTATAAAAATCTTTTTGAGATATTTGAAAAAAACTGATAAAAATTAGAGAACACTTACAGATACCTACAAGTTATTGGTGTTAATCAGGCACCTAGTGCAAATTTCCTTAATTATATGACAATATAATTATATACAATATAATAATTATAAACAATATAATATTTAACTGATAGCATTCCTCTAATTTTCACTGAGATTGCAAGATGATTGCTCTAAGGTTACTGAAACCCTACAACAGGAAGCGGTCCAGGTGAAGGCCAAAGGGATGACCCTTTCAGCCATTGCAAGAGAAGCTTCATTCCAAATCTGTGATTTCTAGAATGTTGCAGCTTTACAATGACACTAATTCATTCAAGTCCCCCAAATAGGATGGTCATCCAGGAAAAACCAATGCAAGAAAAGGCAGGATAATGCGGAGACTCTCAATGGGGAATCGGTTCAACACTGCAGCTGGAATTGCTTTCCAGTTCAGCGATAAAAAGGGTATGAATCTGTCTCGGCACGTTAAAAGGGGTCATATGATGCTTTTTTAAAGATCATTATTTTGTGTGTTTGGTGTAACAGAATATGTTGACATGCTTTAATGTTCAAAAAACACATTATTTTTCAAATACTGTACATTATTGTAGGTCCTATATGCCCCACCTCTCTCAAACGCTTCATTTTCTACAAAGTCCCTCCTTCCGACAAGCGCAGTCTGCTCTGATTGGCCAGCTGACTTGAAATCGCATCATATGACCCCTTTAAGAGAAGTCGGACTGAAAGTGCACTCTGCAGTGACCAAGCCTCTCATCAGCAGAAAGAATCAAAAGACTAGAATCACCTTTGCTGAGAAGCATGTTGTGTGGAGAGAGAAGAACTCGTCCAAAGTTCACTTTAGTGATGAAAGCAAGTTTAATTTTTTCGGGTCAAATGGGAAATATTATGTTTGGTGTCAAACTGGGGAAAGACTGAACCCACGAGTGCGTAAAGAAGTCAGTGAAAGGTGGAGGTGGAGGAAGTGTCATGGTTTGGGGGTATGTTTTGTGCAGCAGGATTTGGGCCTCTTATACAGGTACATGGCAGGTGAATGCAAATGTTTATCAGAACCTCCTTTAGCAACATGCCTTCCCTGCAAGCATCTCCCAATCAGCCTGCAATTTTCATGCAAGACAATACTCCTGTCACACTGCAAAGCGGGTAAAGAAGTTGCTTGAAGCTAAGAACACTGAAATAATTAAATGGCCGGCCCAGAGTCCTGATCTAAACTCAACTGTAAATGTCTGGGAAATCCTTGGCAACAAAGTTATGGCTAAGAAACCCACTAGAGTCACTGAACTGTGGAAGAGACTGAAAGAAGAGTGGACCAAGATCACACCAGCACAGTGTGAGAAACTAGTGATGTCCTGCAAACGCAGATGTGCAGAAGTCATTCAAAGCAGGGTTCTCTACAATTCCTACTAATTGTTGACAGCTATAACCCTCCAAAATTTTAGTTTTAATCTTCATTCGTGCTACAGTGGTAACTGTTCTCTAATTTTGATCACAATGTTTTCCACAAAATAAATGTTTTTGTTGAAATGCCTTGGTTATTTTGATCTCCACTGTATTTTCTGGCTATCAATCATTAATGTTTTGGTCATCAATTTCTCTCAAGTTATACATAAATGACAGAAAAGAGAGATATGGTGTTGTCAGAAAGCAATATACAATTATTGTTTAGATTTGAGTGGAGGAGGGATTTTTGGGCCACATCCTGTATGCAAGAGGATGAAAGAATGGGAATATGCCAAAATGCCAAGCAAGACCTGTCCTTAATTTATCAATAGTTATCTAGAGTAATAGGGACTTGTCTGTGGTAATGTCCACCTCAATATTTTAAAGTTAAAATCCAATTAAAAAAATATATTTTACAGCAACTCTAAGCAAGGGTCTGGTCATACCCTTATACTGTACATTATTGGCTGCATTTTAAAACTTAATAAGCTGCAAGCCAGATTTGCAATTTCTGGGCATCGTACATGCATTACAGTGAACAAAATAAACTTGCACAGAATTTCAGGGCATCGTAAGAGTATTTGAATGTGTAAATCAAACCTACACTACATTTTTTGGCATCATACATTTGAAATATATATACAGTGGGGCAAAAAAGTATTTAGTCAGCCACCAATTGTGCAAGTTCTCGTGTGTATACAGTATGTATGTGTATATATATATATTTGTTGTTATTAGTATGTTGTTAGTGCTTATGCTCCACAAGTAGGTTGTGAGCAAGAGGAGAAAGACAGATTCTGGAGCGAGCTTGAGGAAGGGAGAGCAGTAGGACAGTGGTAATGTGTGCGGTAGGTGAGACAGAGGAGTTCACTGTGAAGGTGGGACTGCACCAAGGATCGACTTTGAGCCCCTTCTTGTTTGCGGTGGTGATGGACAGGCTGACAGATGAGGTCAGACAGGAATCTCCATCAGATAAAACGATTATTGTGCCCCATTCCGCCCCCCTTTCCAGCGGTGCTCTTTCGTTCCTCCATAATCAGTAAAATCATGTAACCAGACTTTTGCAAAACGGGACGTGCTTGATTTATTTAAGTTGATTAGACGTTGATTAGACGATAGACGTTATTTTTAAAGCGTGAATGTACTTGCGCTTCCTTGGGAAGATTACTGTGGATGCACTCAGAGACGGAACACAACACGGAAATGTAAAGTCATCTTTTAGCGGCTAAACGGTCAAATACATACAAAAATGCACCAAAATGCGGCGCTTCGTGATTATTCACGTAAACCCTCGTCGGTTATGTAATAAACTAATGTAAAGAGTTAAGAATGAAAATACTTGTGTAACAGTAAATTGGATCCGTGCAGCTCTTAAAGTGACAGCGGGCTATAGTCCTGCTGCCGACTGTGTGCTTAATATTAATCAAACAACAAAAGACACATTCAAAATCACTCACTGCTCTTGACTGAAGGACTTTTGTAGCTTTAATAAGAAACAAAGGAAGTTTAATTCTTACAGTGAAGACTATGCTGTTTTATTTTATATTAGGTTATTCAATTTCTCTAGTAGGCCGTTAACTGAATACTTAAAAAAAATTTAAAGCACAGTTTGTTTTATTTGTATATTTTTTATTCTATTGTACTCTTTTGCTTTTTTTATTACTGGCATTGTATTCCTTTGCTTTTTTATTACAGCTTAATTATTTTCAATAATTTTGAGGACGTTTTTTTTAACTAATATTATACATTATAAGTAATATTTTGGTCATATGGCCCAATAATAATCATTTTAAATAATCGTGATTACAATATTGACCAAAATAATCGTTATTATAATTTGTCATAACCGAGCAGCCCTAGTCAAAGGTATTCAAATGAACCAGCAACAAGTCCGTATGTAATTTGCATCCCGTTTTCATCCATTGCCTAGCAAGCATGTGAATTTCACACTCTCCAGTCACTAATGTACAGGTGACTTTGGTCTTTTGTTCCGTTTGCACCTGACTGACGCGTACACATGTGCACCAGGACTGTCAGTTCTCATCACACCAGCTTTGTGTCCTTTCTGGTTCCCTGTGCCTAGCTGTAGGCCAGGTGGCTCATTATCCCATCCGTGCTAAGGTCGCTCAGTGGCACAGAGACAAACACTACACACTACGTATGCCAGTGAAGCTAAATATAGCCATGGCTCATGATTATATGCACACAGTAGCAGGGCAGAGAAAGTGATTACAATGCACAACAACTGCACAACGGCGTCTTGACAAATGAGATCTGTCAATGTTCTATTCTTCAAAGCCACAAGCTTGCTTTTGTTGCCATGGATGGGTGACGTGGGGCAGCCATGTGTGCGTGTATTTGTGTGTGGTCACATCACGTAGGCTGGCAAAAGGGGCTGATTGCCAGGAGGTGGCAGGGTGTGATTATGCAAAGATGGCACAATCTCATTTCCAGGGGAAGGACGTGAGGAGGGCAGTGTTGAGACTTGGCTTCATTTCCGTGAAGAGCAGAATACAGAAATGTGAATGGAGGAGACGTCAACTACAATCAACTGTCTGTCATTTTAAACAACTTTTTGTCCTGTATTAATACACTATCTCTAATTTAAGTAATTGGTGGGTTGCAAAGCAAAAATGGGTCACAGGTCGTTAGCAGTGGGAAAATATAATGCTATGTAGAAATATTAAAATGCATAAACATTTAGTGAAATTTTGCTGGCGAAATCCAGTCATTTCAATAAGTATCTGTGCAATCTGTAATGTGGACCCCTCCTTGCATGTCAAAATAATTCTGACTTAACTTTTAGAGTTGACATAAAATTGACCATATAAAGGTGAGGTCACATTTCACAGGCAAAATCCAGTCATTTCAATAAGAATCTGCACGAACACTAAAGGGCGAAAAAATGTCCAGTGCAGATTTCAGTCATGTTCAAGTCTGTCCCATGAATTCACCGTGCTGACCAACAGAAAGCTGCTTGGTTTGAAAGTGACTTCTGTGTGAGCTGTACTTCAGACATCGCTAAAGTACTGACTTTTTTGACTGCAGATTTCTGATAATTAGGATAGCGATATACTTTCAAAGTTGACATAAAATTCAACCATACAAAGGTGCGGTCACATTTGCCAAAATTTCAGGGGCAAAACTTTAATTTCATTTCATTAAAAAAAACATGAGTTCCCCATGAGATTTCGCTCATGTTCAAGCTCATCACATGTATTCGTATAATCTATTTTCTAAGTGCAGGTTATTCATCTTATTGTGAATGAATTATTTATGCATATGTGCAATTGGTAACATTTTATTGGTAAAAGTTTCTATTTGTTAACATTAGTTTTTAGTTACCTCATTAGTTAACATGAACCAACAATAAAAAACACTTAATATTAATTTCAAAATGTACTATTACTTTATTAAAATCAAAAGCTGTGTCTGTTAATGTTTAATAGACCTGAACTAACATGAACTTACACTAAACAGTTGAAGTTTTTGGACTGATGCTAACAAAGATTAGTGAACACTGTGACAATTCTGTGGTTCAACTGTAAAGTTACGAAGCTACGAGAATACTTTTTTGCGCAAAGAAAACAAAGCGCCACACGCTCGCGTCATGAAACTGTCGTGAACGCGCATCCACAAGTGACACAGTAGAGACGAAAATGTGGAATAAAGTCGTTATTTCTGTTTTCTTTGCGCAAAAAAGAATTCTCAGAGCTTCGTAACTTTACAGGTCAACCACTCATGTCACACGTGCTACTTTGTTGATCTTCTTGGTACTTTTCTGGACCTTGAACGTGGTAGTTACCTTGCTGTCTATGGGAGGGTCAGAGAGCCCTTAGATTTCATCAAAAATATCTTAAATTGTGTTCCGAAGATGAACGAAGGTCTTACGGGTTTGGAACAACACGAGGGTGAGTAATTAATGACAGAAGTTTCATTTTTGGGTGAACTAACCCTTTAAACCCGTCCCTGCAGGCTCACTCTCATCTGCCTCCACTTTGTAAGTGCAGTGCCCACATCTCAAAATTCATTCAACAACCAATGAAATGAACCAAGTCTCCTCCATACATATTTTTCTGTTACACTTGGATGTACATCACAACATGGCAGAAAAGATCTGTCGCTGCATCCATTTCAGGAGAAAACAATTCTCATATTTTCCCATATTTGTATTGAGACCAGTCAAATCTTAGCCAACTCTGCCTTGGACTACAGAGCAACCACCTTTACGCAACTGTCATTCATCATATCCTACTGAAAACACAGAATCAGAAATCCACACTGTAAAAGAAAATGCACAAGAACAAACAAAACATTTCTCTTCTCAGTTACTTCTCATTTCTGAGTGTTGTGCATTCACTTTCTTTTTCCTCTTGCACTCCTGTTTTTTCATTAAGTTCCTCTTATTTAAAACGCTGATATCAACACACTGAGTGACGACATGAGGATGGTTGTCTGTCTTACCCTAAAGTGCTGATAAATCCATTGGTGGATCCCTCCGCATACAGGGAGCAGATGTCCCCGATGTGGAGGAAACTGGACATTTTGTCTGACATTTGGCTCCACTTTTCGGTGTGCCTGTGGAAGAGATAACAAACAGATTTAAGGTGCAATAAAATCAGCATAATACCAATATGTCCTTTATTCATCTTATTTAGACATATAGGTTATCATCAGACATGGAGATAGCGAGACAATAATGGTGTGAGGACCATGGGAATGCATTCAAGAAAATGAGAATTTGCCATTTTGAGATGGCCTAGTTTTTGAAAGGAATTCAAGGTCCTTCCGCTGTATGGGTGGATAATGAGAAAAGCACTAGAAAATACAGCTATGCCATGAAAAGACACTTAATCATGTGCACATTTTGTTGATTCTTTGCAATGTACTGTCTGTACCTTTCTAAAAAGGCTAAAATGTAATGCCGTTTGTTGAAAATATGTTTTATGCAATGCAAACTTAAAGATTTGGTTTTCTATGTATTGTCGCATTCATTGTATAGCGACATTGTTGCTAAGTTAAATGTTATACATTCTAATGAGGCACTGATTATAAGACTGAAATATGCTAAAAGAAATAAAGCATCAAATACTGTATAACAAAGCATCTGTTAGATATTATATTATTATATTCAAGCAGAAAATCATTAAAAAAAATTATATTTAGGTCTATCCTAAATCAGACTCAAAAGCCAAGATATAAAAGTGCAGTACCTGGAGCAATAGTTTATCAGCAGATATCAAACTTTTTACTGGCTTATGTAGAGCAACAGGATCTGACAAATAAGAGGGCACGAGACCATTTAAAATTTTTAAAATTATTAATAGGGCCTTGAAATCGATCCGATATCTAGCAAAGAGCTAAGCGGGCCAAAAACAACAACATCCGTTTTGTTCTCATTTAAGTGGAGATTTTGCGGGGGCATTGAAAATATTAGCAATATGTCTCACTTTATGTTTAGGCTAATAGATCGTTTAGCACAAGCAATAGATCAAATGAACAAATATGCACTCAGATCCTTTATGTATTCATTTGCAACTAATCCAATGCTAAATCCAATGCCAAATAGTCAATGCTACATTCAGCTGGAGATGAAGCCTACACTTCAATCAATGACAGACAAGACCAGAGAACATCAATAAGGAACAGGGCAGGCTGCACAGATGCTCAATATAGGCCTATGTATCAGAGTAATACAAACAAATACAGTGTTGACAGTGTTGAAATAATATCTGCCTTTATCTGAACTGACAGTGTATGCACTATTGGCAAAAGAATGGAACTTTGTTTTCTTTGTCTGATTACAAAGACTAAAGACTAATTATTATTTGAACAGTAAACATGCTCTACCTGTGAAATCTCCATTGATAAGCCACATCATGCTCTGTTTGAAATTCAAATATTACCCAAGTGTATAATCTACATGTTTACTTTATTTTATCACACAGCTTTCTGAAATTCTGATTGGTCAGTCATGACATTAAGCGGTCAAATGTTTCTGAATTCATGTTTGGTTCTTCTGCATCTCTACAAGGAACAAAATAATACTCTGAACAATATTTCATATTCATTTATTTTATTTTTGTACTTGATAAGATAAAAATAAGCTACAAAATCCCTGTTGGAGTGTGTTTTGTGATAATGACTGCCTGATTGTACATTAAACCAGTTAGTGACTGAAATAAAGTTGATAGGTACTCGGGAGTCTGCAATGACATCTGTGCAGGAACAATAATAATGAATTACATGCCTACTATGACAATAATTGGCTAAATGAGCTGCAAATCACAGGAAAACCTTAAAGGGGTCATATGATGCTTTTTTAAAGATCATTATTTTGTGTATTTGGTGTAACAGAATATGTTGACATGCTTTAATGTTCAAAAAACACATTATTTTTCAAATACTGTACATTATTGTAGGTCCTCTATGCCCCGCCTCTCTCAAACGCTTCGTTTTCTACAAAGTCCCTCCTTCCGACAAGCGCAGTCTGCTCTGATTGGCCAGCTGACCCAGTGCATTGTGATTGGCCGAACACCGCAAGCACTCGTCGGAAATGTAACGCCCCTTACCATAATCATGAGCTTCATCTTTTAAAATAAATGTAGACAGAGCCCGAAAGGGGAACAGTCGTGTGACAGACAGTGATGAAGCTGGTAGTATGTGTTTGCAGTACACAAGCCACGGTTAAGACAGCTGACTCACGCAGGTCATATTAATACTGATGTGTCCATTAAAGAGGTTGAGTTGTTACAGTTATCAATACTTGTTAGTATCAATACTCATTAGACCACAAGGCTGTATCTAATACATGAAAAATGCTGCTTTTTCTATATAGAGCACATCAGGGTATCACATCATGTCACAGAGATGCCTTCATATGGTCTATTGTTAAAGGCAGCATAGATGTATCCATCAATGTCTGTAATATCCCACAATCCTGTGTGCTGCTGTGACAGACATTTTTTTATTCAATTTATACCAAGATATAATCTCACCTTGCTTGTGAAGTATTATGTGCTGCTGTAATTTAGATACAAATGCTTTCTCTTGCACAGTGCTTTTAGCAGCAGTAAATGTGATTCATTTATATAAAAATAATAATAAAATTGGGGAAAATTTTAATTAGGAAGCATTAAATTAATCAAAAGTGACAGTAAAGTCATTTATAATATTAAATATTTATATTTCATTCATATATATATATATATATATATATAGAGGCATAAAATGAATAAATTACATTTTAAAATGTATTACAATAGAAAACATATTTTGAACTGAAATAAAATGTCACACTATTGCTGCTTTTACTGTACTTTTAATGACATAAATGAAGCCTTGGTGAGCATGAGAGACTCATTTTAAAAATCTTAATGATCACAAACCTTTGAACAATAGTATTTGATCTGATTTTTAACAGTTATGGCCAGTTACACAGCATTTTCTACCACAGCAGCATCCCCAAAATTGCCTTCCTGCTTCCCCAGCACAGCTATCACTCACAGAAAGGTAGATCACCTAGCAACCTAGTGTGCGCTCACACCCTGAGAATGATGTCTATGCCCGATAACACACAGACAGACACAATAGAGGCTCGTTGTGCTTGTCATTCATGATGTGCTGTATTCTGAACAGATGAGTAAGAGGGGCCATGGGGCTCAAGTCACTCTTATCATACTAAGTTGTGCGTCTTGCGTTGTGCTCTCACCTAATTCTCCACCTGTGTGCATTTGTGTGGAGTGGAAGAGAGCATCGAGTGAGCCTTTGAGATGGAAATATCTGCAGTTACAGCTGCTCAAACCGAAAGTGGCCATACGGCCCGTCCTTTTGATCTGCTGATGGATGCAACAGCTAACCCACAAAAACAGCAATTATCCGTGGTGAAACACTGTAGATTATAAAATGTGACAAATCTCATTCTAGAACAGTTGTTAGTGTTTAGAACCACAAATTGGAGAAATTATAAATTATGCGTTTAAAGCAACAGTTATTACAGTTTTGGATAGTTTTTGCTTGTAAACGATGATTGATTTGTGCATATTTCTCTCCTGATTCAGACAAGACAGAAGCAACGGTTTCAAGTTAAAATGTCTTATGACGGATTTTATCTTACAAACACACAGCTTTTCGAAGACATTAACTGATGGACTGGAGTTGTGTGGATTACTTGTGGATTATTGTGATGTTTTTAATCAGATATTAGGACACTCATTCTTTCTGCCGGCACCCATTCACTGCAGAGGATCTATTTTGTTATGCATGTCAACAGAAAAGTCTGTAAAGAGTGATCTAAAACAGAGGAACAGCCTAGACCCTTTTGGGGTCTGTAAATTGAGTGCTGGCTGCAAGGAAAAAACAAAAACTAACCAACAATTGAGGAGGAAATGGCCATTGTTTGTCATGGTTGATAAAGAGCTACACAGAGGATGACAGATATTGAGCCCGCCTTTTAAACCGACCCTGCTGATACACTGACCCTCTCATTCACTACATGAATAATGAGAAAATCTGATTATTGTACAATGTAAATCTGTACAAACATGGCGCAAGGTCTGTTGTGGTCTTAATCTAGAGTCCTCTTGTAACTACGTAAATGTGGCCCTTGTCTGGATCTCATTATAAGGTTTCTTGGTCTGAATCAACAAAATGTAGGTGTGATTATTTTCCATTGGGAAATGATTGGATGGTGAAAAGTAGAAAATAACACTTTATATTTAGGATAATGTGCACTGTGAATTCACAAAAAGATGAGGGGTCAGTTTTGATTCTGAATCAGTCTTGATCTGTCTCAGTCAAGCCCACATATTTTCATTATATTACACTTAAGCCCATACTGTTAGACAGTAGTGTATGTGTAAAAAAGTAGGCAGATTGTGATATGGTTAGTTTCTGAACAGGCTGTCATGCCTCAAACCCAACTGAAACCAATGATAAAAAGACTTTGTAACAACGTTCGTAGTCACGGGAAGAAGGAGGCGGGAACTGACGAACATTTAAACAAAACTTTAATAAAATAAACAAACACTCGTCACATACCCCCATCGCCCCTCGCAGGCCGGGGGGTACTCCCGAGACTGCGCTCTACTCCCCCCCTCCCCCCTCCGGAGGAGCCGATCACGGCGGCCGCGGCGTACCTGGGGGTAAGGACAGACAGACGAGGCGAGAGAAAAGAAGACAGAAGGATGAGGAGAGACAGATACAAGAGAGGGGAGAGAGGAAAAGAAAAAAAAATGATCGGTCCGGTTCCCGGACACACTGCCACTTGGTCCTCAACCGGCTGAGAGGCTCTCACTCGCGGTGCCATGCGATGGTACTGGGCATCGTTGGTGGAAGGCCCACCGCTCCTCCGCCTCCTGGCGGACGGCGATGGCTCCTCCTATTGAGGGCAGCCGTCAGCGAGTCCCCAATCATGGCGGATGGCAGCAGGCTCCGGCCTCCTGGCGAATGGGGCCGACTCCTCCACCCCCTCTCGGACGGCAGCCACCCCTCCTCGACCCAGGAGCCCGGCAGCAAGCTCTCCGTCCCACCTCGTCTTCCATCGTTCCAGCACCACCGCCTCAGGCAGCCACCGGCGGTCTCTCCGCTTGTTCCTGCTGCCCGATCTCCTCAGCACCACGATCCCCCTCAGCAGCGAGGGGTCGCTGACAGCGTGTCCCTCCTTCCTTTCGGGTTTCGGCACCAATGTAACAACGTTCGTAGTTCGGGAAGAAGGAGGCGGGAACCGGCGAACATTTAAGATTTTAATAAAATAAACAAACACAAAATTAAAGTAAAGCGGCAGCCCCTCGCGGACGACTGCCGCACACAAAACACAAAATAAAGTCCAGGCCTGGTCCTCTCTTGTCTTCCACTGTCGTTACTCCTCCTTTTATCCTTCCGGAGCTCCTCCGTGGGACTCGAGACCGGTGAGTGGTGCAGGTCTCGCTCATTATCAATTACTCCACTGGCCTCGCTCCGTTCCCACGGCCCCGCCCCACTCGTCACAGACTTCAATTTGTGTTCTATGATGTAATATGAACCACCTTTAATCTGATTATAATTTCAGCCAGACGTGTTGAAACCACCATCATATCACAATATACAGTATACAGTATATCTCTCCCACCTTCAGTACCACGACTGAGGTGCCCTTGAGCAAGGCACCGAACCCCCAACTGCTCCCCGGGCACCGCAGCAAAAAAAATGGCTGCCCCACTGCTCCGGGTGCGTGTTTACGGTGTGTGTGTTTTCACTGATGTGTGTGTGTGCACTTTGGATGGGTTAAATGCAGAGCACTAATTCCAAGTATGGGTCACCATACTTGGCCACATGTCACGTCACTTTGTCATTGATAAGCTAACATTATTTTGTGTGGCACTCTGTTTAGAATCATACAATTTACACAAGCATATTCACTTGCAACCAATAATAAATACACCGTTTATCACTTCACAAGCTAAAAAAAAAAAAAAAAAACATATGCTTGACAAAAAATACGGTCCAAGAGATGCACATCGCCTTATCATAATCTAAATTCTGCACGCTCTAGTACGTGGTAACTATGGGAATTAATCATTTGTACTCATCTGAGATATGACATCTGAGGATGCAGCGCAGACAGACTCTTCAGAGAGAGAGAGAGAGAGAGAGAGAGAGAGAGAGAGAGATCTAGTGGAAGCCGCATGTTTTTTCATCACTATTAATGTATTCGCTCAATTTCCCTCATCGAAACATCGAAATAATCTTGTGCTGTGAGCTCTTACACAATACAAACAGCTGAGTTTAACGTCACTTTCTTTCTCCATTCCGGGTGACAGGACCTCCGGCGGTCTGTGTTGAGTAATAAGGGCCGATTAGGGGGTTTGAGCTTTGAAAGCCGAGCCGCTTCATTAAGCCACTATTGTAATTTGACTGTCACTAATGGCAGCGTGGAGGACAGGCGTGACAGATGAGAGGAAACTAGGCTCAGTGTGTTTCTGCAAACGAAGAATTAGAGAATGATAAACAGGTGAGGGAAAGCAAAGAAAGCAGATTGGTTTGCTTTTAACACAACAATATGAGCACTTGATGATTAGAGGCTTACGGTGTTTCATTCATGCATCTTACCTCAGGATATCAAACCCATTTTGTCACTCTACAAGCATATGATGAACGTAAGATGGGAATAAAATTGTTAATAATGTAGGGATGGCTTTCAATAAAACTATAAAGAGCTTATAGTCACACTTAGGCAATCGTTTTAAAACTCTTTTATGGTTCACCATGTGGAGGATGCACACAGTATAATAGTCATATTTTACATTTTAAATCCCATGGAGTTTCCAGCAGGATGTCTCTATGATGTTCATGTTATGTATGTAGTGTATACTCATACATCACAGCAGTTGATGTTACTATAACGGCCTAAATGTCACATCTTTATCTGGGCCACTGGAATATTTGAAATGCTCTATATAAAAATATAAGGCAACACGGTTTTAAACTCGGCTGCACTGAACACCAGCAGCGCAGACAGGAACCGAGTCTTAAAACACTGCCCTACTTTCTCCTGAGGATCTCAAGCCAGAGAAAAAAAGGCCAGTCAACAAATAGCAAATGCATCTTTTTTTGGATCACAAGTTTAGCAGTATTGCTCATTGATTACTATGAATCAAATGACATATAATAACTGCTGTTAATGTTATTAAATTATTAAAATATTTAAATAAATAAATGTATTTTAATATCTTATCAATAATAATAATAATGAAAATATATACAATACAAAATAATATTAAGCAAATAATAATGATAATAAAAACTTAATTCTATGGCTATTATCTTTTTCTGTCATTTTCTCAAATATTGTTTATTTAAATATTTAAACTTTAATAAAGATATTTTTATCAAAAATAATTATTGTATTTTTAAACAGGAGTATTGCTTCATGTTAACTGATTAATTATCAAATGACAAATAATAATGGTTGTTAATGTTATTAAATTATTTCACATCTGAATCTTTACTTATAAATTATAAATATGAATATGTTAAAATATGTTATGTAATATAATAATAATAAATGAAAATAATCCAAATATAATCAAATACATAATCCAAAACGGTGCAATCTGAGATATGACATCTGAGGATGCAGCGCAGACAGACTCTTCAGAGAGAGAGAGAGAGAGAGAGAGAGAGAGAGAGAGAGATCTAGTGGAAGCCGCATGTTTTTTCATCACTATTAATGTATTCGCTCAATTTCCCTCATCGAAACAGGCCTGTAATCTTGTGCTGTGAGCTCTTACACAATACAAACAGCTGAGTTTAACGTCACTTTCTTTCTCCATTCCGGGTGACAGGACCTCCGGCGGTCTGTGTTGAGTAATAAGGGCCGATTAGGGGGTTTGAGCTTTGAAAGCCGAGCCGCTTCATTAAGCCACTATTGTAATTTGACTGTCACTAATGGCAGCGTGGAGGACAGGCGTGACAGATGAGAGGAAACTAGGCTCAGTGTGTTTCTGCAAACGAAGAATTAGAGAATGATAAACAGGTGAGGGAAAGCAAAGAAAGCAGATTGGTTTGCTTTTAACACAACAATATGAGCACTTGATGATTAGAGGCTTACGGTGTTTCATTCATGCATCTTACCTCAGGATATCAAACCCATTTTGTCACTCTACAAGCATATGATGAACGTAAGATGGGAATAAAATTGTTAATAATGTAGGGATGGCTTTCAATAAAACTATAAAGAGCTTATAGTCACACTTAGGCAATCGTTTTAAAACTCTTTTATGGTTCA